AATCAATTAGACAAAACAGATTACTCTGATCCGTTATTGTTAAAACTCCTAGTAATGATAATTGTATATTATATACATTTCATTGTTGCTTAGAATGACTATAGTCTTCTCCACCTATATTTATAAATCCATATTAGGATGAGTTCTTTTTTGAAGATCTTTTTAAATCTGGAATTGTTCTCTGCATCATTTTTATGTAAATACCAATGATAACTAGTTGATAATTTGGCTCTACTAAATCAGAATTATACTGGAATAATACATCAAAAATATTTCCTTTTTACCCTCAGGTATAATTTGGGGATTTAGTACATATTGAATTTTTAGAAATTACACATATGTGTATATATACATTTTTTTATACACACACATACATATAAATTCTATTTTTATGTGCGTTTCTTGAAACTGGGGAATATCTGAACCCGACAATAAGTCTGCCAGAGATGAAGCAGAGAATCTGTGTATTTTGCTACTGCCCTACTCCTATCTCAGCACCCCTTTCCCTTAAGACTTGGTAATCCCAAAACAAACAAAAAGGGAAAGGGAGAGTTACCAGGACCTACAGTAATCTCTCCACATTTGTACTTTTGGCCTTATCTTGCTATTTAAAGGCATTGCTATCTGTGCTAGGCTTCATTTGCACAGTGGTTCAGACAAAGTGTAAACATTCCCAGTTCCTTTGAGGTGACTCTAGGACTGCGTTGGGACTTCTGGCAGAAGTCCAGATCGTATTTTTTATGTACCCCACCCTTAGGTGAGGCAGACACTATGCTATAACCATGGTGTAAAGAACATAAATATGCTGTTTCACCTAGCATTTGCCGCATACGTTTACTAGCAATTGTCCTTGGGCAGTTTATCCAGTGCTGTGGATGCAGGGGCATCTGAGTTGGCTTTTTGCAAAACCTGCCATGAGTTTTTAAACCCATATGCAATGTAATTTGCACACTGTCCCACTGATCCCACAGCCCATCTGGATCTGGAGGCAATTTAATTCTTTCATGTGATATCAAAGGCACCAATAAACCCATTGTATCTCCAGTGCGAGTGGCAAAGTGCCCTGGGAAGGTTTAACCCTGTCTCTCAGCTATTAGAGCGAGGCCCCTCTGAAACAGGCAGTGTGAGGTGCTATGGGCCACATATTTCTACCTGGGTAAAGTAGTCTGTAAAATTATTGGGTCCACCAGAAACTTTTTTGCTTCTTGTATCCTGAAGGCAAATCAGACTTTGAATACTAAGCCAGGTGGAGTCCATAGCTCACACAAGGACTTAACGCATGCATTGCTTCACAGACAACAATCTACTACCTTATGTAAACAAATAATTATTTAAATACTTTCAACAGCAAAGAGACCCCAAGGGACCTCGGCCAAGTAACTCCCTTTAGCCTAACAGAACCATTCCCTACTGCTGTTCTGATTTACGCTCCTTTAGCTGAGAAGTGAATTAGATTCAGTGCAATCTAATCTCCATATGCGAATCTAAATTTAATCAGAATCTGGCCCAGCATCATGTTTTAAAGTAATATATGCTTGAATTTAAACTGTAACAACCCTGTTGGTAATATAGCTATTACAAAAACAATAGTAATGGTGCACAATAGGGTATATCATATTGCTTCATTTTAGCTCCATGTTTAGCATACTTCTTGTGAGGTAAAATTGTTTAAGTGTACAACTTTGGTGAACATGGCCTATACCCTCCAAGCAGCATATCCCACTGTGCTGTACTACATAGTGAAGAGTGGAAAAGGAAGGATATATTTTTATGTGGTGCAACCCCTGTTCTTCTTCAAAAGCAGATGCTACATTTTTCTTGGGGCCCAGGATCAGTCTTAGTTATTATTGTCAGTAAGCAGATAAATTCAGAGCTTATTAAGTTCTTCCAGGAGTATATGTTGTTACCCATGACCCAAATCCACAGAGTGAAGGTTGGAGAAGGAAATTGTAGCTGACTTAGCTTCAGCTTAGCATAAGTCTGACTCCTACTTAGCATAAGTGCCTGAAGTAGATGAAGCCTGCAGGCCTCAAGGCTGAGCCGTCAATGAACTCGAGAAACATTGCTGACGGTGTGACGCTGCCGACGATGTGACTGCAAAATCAATTAAAACTAGCTAATAAAGATACAAAACTAGCTAATGTACCCATGACCCAAATCCACAGAGTGAAGGTTGGAGAAGGAAATTGTAGCTGACTTAGCTTCAGCTTAGCATAAGTCTGACTCCTACTTAGCATAAGTGCCTGAAGTAGATGAAGCCTGCAGGCCTCAAGGCTGAGCCGTCAATGAACTCGAGAAACATTGCTGACGGTGTGATGCTGCCGACGATGTGACTGCAAAATCAATTAAAACTAGCTAATAAAGATACAAAACTAGCTAATGAGGATACAAAGTAGAATGCAGGAAACAAGATGGGATGCACCTGGGTTGTGGTTGACCTTCGAGAAGATAAGGGACTGTGGGAAACAAGAACATGGCAACCAGCCCGGGATGTAGGCCAGGACCTGTCAGAAGGAGAGACACACCAATCAGAAGGTGAGAGACTACCAACTCAGTAAAGAAGATTGGAGGAGACCTTCACTGGCAGGTGGGAAATAAAACTGTAAAGGGTATAATAATTACACCTAGAATTTCTTTGTTCAGGGTCCCTCCCCAGAGGCTCCCAGCTCGAGCTGTTACTATGCTGTACTGTCATTTAAATAAACAATGACTTTTGCTGTCATATGTGCATGAGACTGCTCCTTGGAAACCTAGGGTCAAACTGTTTCCGTAACAGTGAACTAGATTATTACTAGTTATTCAGTATCAATAATGGGCTCAGCCTCCTGCCATATATAATGCTACAGACAAACAGCAGATCTTTTTTACCCTGAATTTTGTAAAAGACAGCAGCAAAAAGGTCAAAGAGAAGCATGATATTTAGAACTAAAAAATTTAAGCCTCACCATCCTCAAAACTTCACACTACATAAGATTGTGCTTATTGTTACTTTTATGTGACTTAATCAAGAAAATCAAAAGCAGGGAGACAAAGGTTTTGTCTCAAGCTCAGGAACAGCTAGTAATATTCAAATGAAAGCACTTAGTGTGCCCTCTTCTCTGGAGGAAACTGCTCTGATGTTTCAGCAAACAATAAGAACTTCTGGCTCAGGACAACTGTCCTTGCAAAACAGCCTTCTCTTTTCATACCCTTCTGGCTCAAATTACTGGAACTGAAAGAAAACATGAAAGCTAACTTAAGACATTTGAAAAACAATTTGACAGAAAAAGTAACTTACAGCTCAACTGAAATAATCAGGACAAGGGCATCCATTGGAAAAGCCGATTTATCAGTCAGGAAATCCCACTCATCCTTCGGCCGTGTTTCACAAACACGATTTTGAAACATGCTTTTTGGAAACCCAAAGCCCCTGGTATGCTGGTGGTAGCAGGGTGTGTGCCTCAGGGAGCCATGCAGTTGGTATACCTATACCTGGCTTCAGATTAAATAGATTTAATGTGATGACTGAAGCACTGAACACTTCAGCTGTCTACATCTCAGACTTTTTGGCCACCCTGATTTATAAAGAAACTTAGAATCAGTCTTGACATTTGCTGCTCCAGGTTGTGAGCTCTGGCAGTCCTGCAGTGGGTATAGCATTTGCGTTGCTGCCTCTGCTCTGGGAATAGTAGTGCTAGGAGCAGAGGGTGGGAAGCTTAGGGTGACTGCAGCACTGTGGTAGCTCGCTAAATCTCTCTCTTACTGCCAGCCATAGGCCCTCGTTCCTTCCCAGTGGAACTCAAGTCATTATCTGGTACTTAGAATTTAGGCTGATTTTTCTTTTACAGACCTCAAGCACTCCCCAAAGGAAGATCTTCACTTTATCTGTGGGAAACCAAAGTATACAACAAATCACTAGTTTACACATTGAGCACCCAACCTTGAATTCAGAACCTGATGAACAGGACTGGGTGCAGCAGAGTCCTTTGGTGCCCAAGCACCCCCCAAAAAAAAAAAAAAAAAAAAAAATCAATGCAGAGTCAGGGGCTGTTTCCCTTTCTCCCTGAGGCAGTATGGATTCACAACATGATGTCTCTCAAGCTTTGGTAAGACTGCTTGCATGAATAAGGCTTACAGGAATGTGCCCTTCATTTCATGTATGCTGTGCAGCTAATCCACATCACCAAAACTGCATTCAATCTTTCCTTAGACAGAATTCTCCTGATTCAAACAAAATAAAAATGGCCCAAAGACTCAAGCTAGTTGAAAAAGTATCAAAACCTCAGCAGGTCAACCTCTGCCTTCATCCACACCAGAGTGCCTAGAGTACAAGCAAGATCCTAGAGCCGTGTGTTCACATTGGTTGCACCCAAATAGTCAAAATGGATTAAGGTAGGAGCTCAGCAAATAGCCCCTTTGCTCTGGTTTTCACAGAAAGGAGACCCAGGCATGTGGCCCAGGTGAGCAACCCACAGTGCTCCAGCAGCTGCCCACCCCAATGACCCAAAGAGCATGGATCAGGGCTTTGGCACCTCATCTGCTAGAGGTGGCCTCTGCAGTACCTTAGGGCTAGTTAAGACAGAGGTTACATTAATATAAATAATGACACAAAGCAGTCCAGCAGATTTAAGGCCATTAAAATGTAATTTTACTTTAAATAGAATTACTCCACAATAGTTCCAGTGTGGAGTTCCTTGTTTATTTCTCAGGAATTTTAATGACCAGATCTGTTCACTTTGTAATTAAAAAGATTAATTTTTCTGATCACTCACCTTGCAAATTTGACCTTAAATCTGAATAACCATCCATGTCCCTCCCTTCTCCTGCACAAAGACTGAGCAAGCCAATTTCTATTCGTAATGGATATTCATAACATCCCATTGTCTTTAAAGATCTTATGCAGATTAATTTGTAGTTGTATTATATTTAATAAGGCTGGAGCTGATGATGTTCTGCACATAAAAACAAATTTTAATATTCCTTAAAAGCATATTTTTATATATAAAGAATGAATTGCCATTTGCAAACAAGTTTCATCCAGCTCGTCAACTTCAGATGAGCAACACATCTACTTTATGAACCTAGAGATTGATGTAAACATTATAAAGATGATCGTTCTGTATCAAAATCTAAATGAGTTTTCCATAATAGAAAATGAGCTTTATTCCTTAAGGTTAAGAACATGAAAGCGGCATAGAAACCAAAAGAACTGAGTAACACAAAGTATTTTTATGTTGGGCTAGGAACGTCCACAGAGGGTTTATACTGAAATAAGTTACAGCTATCTCAGTCTGAATTGATGGATTAGCTGTTAAAAAGCAAAACAGAAAACCTACTTTGGCAAGGAGGCTTTAATTGGTCCCATCATTGTGATAATAGCAAAGATCCAAAAACATTTGTGTGGGCACAGATACGGGAAGTGGTGGCACATTGCAATGCAGAGATGGACAGAGAGGGAGGGGAGAGCTCTTTAAGCTGGCATTATCAAAGTGGGCATAGTCTCAAACCAAGAACCTGGCATCATTATCCTGAACTGCGCCACCCAGCAACTCCTCTCTGTGCTCTGCAGAAGCCCCTAGACCAATTACTCACACATTAACTTAAAAGTGACCACTGCTTCTAAGCAACCAAGCTACTGCAATTAGTACCTTTGCAAAGTTTAATTCCTGTCTACACTTCTCAGATTAAAACTGTACTGTACCAAGCTACTGTCAAAAAGAGCATTACTGCTTCATGACAGAATTCTTGCCTAAAAGTCTGGGAGTGTTATGATTTAACGTTAACCAACTTACACATTTAAAGATAATATATAAAATACTCAAAGATTTTTTTGAAATTCAATTCAGAGAAGAATAACAAACAGTTAGAAAGCCAGCCGTAGACACATTTCATAGCATGTGTTTTCCCATTACTCTTACAGCATCTCTATTCTCCCTCAGATGCTCCAACACCTAATACTGAACATGTCACTGAGGAGCCCTGTATAGAAATGCATCACTGGGTCTTCCAAAATTCTGGCTGTAAGTTTTGGGCATGCTTTTGGCTAGATCATGTCTGGGACTTAACCCACCCACAACTTGTAGTGCACCAGAAAACACTAGGCTCACAGAAACATTCAGTAATTGAACTCTGCTGTCACTAGAGGTCAGACGAGCTCCTCATCACTAGGCTCTGACAGGCCCTAACTGGGCAGTTTTGCTGTTTGGGAAAACTAAAACAAAACAATCCAAAAGGCTTATTTTCAAGGTAATTTGTCCCATACTATTTTATTCAAAGAATAAAAGCTTGGTTTTTTTCCCCACACAAGCATTGACTGAAAAGATTCTTAACGTATGTCAACAAATGCTTCCTTACAGGGTGATATGCTTAAAAGGTTATAACACATTCAAGGCTTTTTCTTCTAAAGATGAAAGCTTATTTTTAAAATTCAGAGTATAGCAAATCAGAAGTGTTTTGTCAGTCTCTTAACCTATTAACTTCTCAATTTCTGTCAGTGCACAGTCCTTCAGCTAGTTCACATATACAGAACGCTGGATAAAAGCGCATGGGAACTTGCTTTTCTTACTCACTGACTGCAAAGTGCTTTAAAAGTGTGTAAAGCATTCCTCAAAGCGAATAGGCTTAAAACTCCTCATCCTGGTCACAAGCCATAAATTGGGATTTTTTTCAGCAGAACAAACAGTAAAAATACAAGGGCATACAAGTCAGAGAGAATAACGGTCCTTGATAATACAGTGAAATAAATACCTCCTAGTTCATAATAATTTAATTTCACAGGCATGCTTTAAGCACTCTCCAACGACTTTCCACCTAACAACAGAAAGCAGACATGATTTGGGAAGTTCATAGTCATCGTAAAAGTAAATGAGATTACACATAGACACTATTATTATTAATTTGGTATTTTTTAAATGTATTTGGTCCCACAGAAATAGCACCCTTGTAAAGACAGCATCAAAGAACATTACAAGGCTAGAAGGTATTTTTAGATATCACGTTATTGGAATCACTGACTCTCTCACAGAAGGCAGTACGTCAACACTTGCATAATGAATGCTTTAAAAGCATCATAACCAAACTTTTAAACTTCCCTCACAAATAAATCTTGTGATGAGATTTTAGAATGTTGTTCTTCTGATTGTCACGTTACCAACCATCCTTCCCAGGTCTTTCTGCATTTTTCCTTCAGCTGCATGCTCTTGCCTTGGGAACACAGGCTTCCCAGCCAAGAACTTCCCCTGTACTGGAACGTAGGCATCAGCAGTGAAAGAAACTAGTAAGTCTGCAGGGACAACGACTGACTTCACTATGTTTTAAAAGGAAAGTCACATACAGAATCACACAAATATCCAGGATACAGTAAATAAATAATCATATGCCATGAAAGAAAACATTCCTAGATTAAGCAATGCTTACATCCCTTCTCTAGCTGAGTCTCTCCTGCACTTTTCATAAATAAAAGTGAAGGTAGAGGTTGCTGATTGAGTGCAGGTCTCTCTCGTGGAACATCTGTGCACATCAACAGTGGCATGGAGGTGTTAAGGTTCACAGACAAGTCAGGGCAGTAGGCACAGCTTCCTAAGACACTCTGATAGTCCTGGATAAGGCTACTGGTGATTTTTTCTCATGTAAACCAAGAGATAGGCCGTTTGTCCCCTGTGGAAGAAAGAAAAGGTAAAAATCAAAAAGTGTGTTTGAGGATCCAGGTGATCTCAATTGTAATTAACCTCCTAGGTTTAGTTCTGCTCAGCGTTTTTAGTTCAGGACAACTGAACTGGCCCTTCCCAGTGTTCCTAAAGCAGCACATAATGCTGACCTCCTGGTAGTGCTATAGCTGATAAGAGGGATTATCTCTCTCCATGGCTGGTTTCAATGATGCATCAGGACACAAAGCATGGAGGAACCTTGGCTAAAGCACTAACTTTAGTCAAGGTTTAGGGTCTGGGTGGCACTGGTGGCAATCATAACTGTGAGACCACTCCTGCACTGCATTTGTGACTACACAGTAATCCTGCAGGCTGTCCCTATAGTCCTGTACAGTCAGAGTAGCCACAATTTAAAAAAAAAAAAAAAAGCCTCTTTCTTTTTTTTCCAGCTCATTCCAGGCAAAATTTGCAGTTCAAATTGCTTGTTTGCCCTGTCTTCACTACCTTCTTGCCAGTCCCCAGAGCAGCATTAGGTAAAACAGAGAGGTGTTTGCTTACCAGTGGAGGTCTGAATGTCCATACGTGCATCTCACATCATCCCACAATACCTGGAGAAGAACAAACACACAAGAGGCAGCTGGTAAAAACTCCAAGGAGATACACGTATTGTGACACTAGCAGAGCAACCCCCATAAGAGTGGTACTTTCAGGAACTACAAATCTTTCGATAAAAAAGTTTTTCTCTTATCCTTCCAGGAAAATCAGCTCCTTTGCCTCTAGCTACCCTCTTCTGAGCACATGTATTAAGCAGAGCTAGAGTATATTAGGCAGGGTATAGAGTGAATGGCTGCTTCTGTAAAATAAACCTAGGACCTAATGTCTTGCTTGGTACAGAAGCTGGAGCTGTTCAGCACTCAGCTCAGTGCCTACTGTAGCAGAGGAATGAAATGCACAAAGCTCTGCAGCTTTTGTTTTCTTTCCTGGTTCTCTTTAATCAGCAGTTAGCCAGAGAGAATGAAATCTCGAGGAGAGTCCCAGAAGCTACAAAAGAAATATGGATGTTGCTCCTCACCTGGCAGACCTCGGAATCATCAAAGCAATACCATTTGTGTTCTGTGAGACTCCGAATATAGGCACAGTAGTGTCCACAATCAGTTGATCCTGAATGAGCAACAACAGCAAAGAGCTCATACTGCCAGGCAGCCTAGAAAGAGCCACAAAGAGAAACTTTCAGTTCAGCAATCCTGATTCGCTACTGGCTGGTGAGCAGCAGCAGCCAGGACACCAGGAACGTGCATTTCATAAGGAATAAGAAGAAAGATTAGATTGGCCTTCATGATCCTGCCTTTTTCATCTTATCCTCAGAGTTCTTCCTGCTAGCTATGGGTTGGAAACCTCCTTGGAGATCATGGGAATGTGGGGAAAAAAAGCAGTAGGACCATGTGGCAGCAAAGAGATTATTACATTGCAGCCAACGCCACCCCAGCAAGGCTTTGTTGTTGACACACTCTCCCTTGCTATTTCTCTGTAAGGGGAACAGATCCACAATGTGGCAGATCACTCAGCTGCTTGGCAGAGCTATGTCTCCCTGCTAACCACGACCATGTGGCAGAATGCGTGGTGTGGAGAACTGCCAGGGATGGAATTCCCCTATCTTGGGCTTCCAGCCTCTGCAAAACAGTTGGCCTGCTGCTCACTGAGGCTGTCTTGCCCTGAAAGCCGAATTACAGGGCAGAAGTTGCCTTTAAAACGTTGGTTACAACTGAATACATCATTCAAACGTGTTTTAATGTCTTCTGCAGTATATTTAGAAATGCAAGAGCCAAGTTATCCTAACTGCTCTCAGAAAAAAAGGGATTGGTTTTCTGGGGTTTTTTTTTTGGGGGGGGGGGGGGATTGCTTGTTTGTTTTGTGGTTTGTTTGGGGGTTTTGTTTGTTTTTTTTTGTTTTGGGGTTTTTTGTTTGTTTGTTTGTGGAGTAAAGCCTTTTTTTGTCCTTATGGTAGAAAGATCGGTTTATAGTGGCTTTGGTGATTTAATCTAAGCCCAACTGGGATAATGCCCGAACTGGTTAAAACCATGGGATGTGAGACAGCAGCAGGTAGAGAGATAAAGCCTGAGACATACATTTTTAAGACAAGCGCTTTGAACTGAGGCAAGCACCAGTCTAAGCTCTGAGTTTTTAAATGAGACTTCAGTAAGGGGGAGAAGAAAATATGTCTTTTTTTAAGATAAGGCGTTATCTCACCTTTTCACTGGCATCTGCTTGACACTGCTCTGTTGTCAAAACCGCATTGAAATCGAGGTCTTGTGGGAAGGGCAGATAGTGACAAAGCTTGTGGATGGAGGCCGATTTTCTGAAGCAGAAGCGCTTTAGGTGTAAGATCAAGGTCTGTGGCAGATGGGCTAACTTCATGCTCTGCAAAGCAATAATTAATGCAATTGAAAATTAAGGAACAAAGCTGGGGGAGGTGGGGGTAGAAGCAGCTATTGCAACCCAGTGAATATAGCATGGAGAGCAGTCAGTGCTACAGCGAATGAATTCCTTTTTCACTGAACAGCAGGTACCAAACCTCTGTAGCCCCTCTGCACACAGGAGACATGCACACGCACACAATGGAACTGTGATAAGTAAGTTTCTAAGCTTGAGCATGACCAGCACCCAGCCTCAGGTGCTGTTTCATTTCTCATCTGCTTTCCTAACCCTGGGCTGGTAGTACTCCCACACCTGCTCTCTCTGATTACTGACCATGGCCTGCAAGGCAACAGTGCTAAGGACTGTTTAGGCAACCAAAGCAGCCGCAGCATACAATGCGGATGGTGCAGCATGCTAGGAGGCTGCCACTACCAGCAGGCTGTTCCTGCCAGACACAAACTGGTTGTGTTCACAAGGAATTTCCCTCTTCTATAGATTGCCTGTGAAGACAACTTTGTCCAATTAGCTTTGCCATCCTCTGGGTTTGCTGTCCTCTTCAGTTGCAGGATACCTAATGTGCTTGTCTCCTTACACCAGAGCACCATACCAGTGATAAAACTGGATGAAGTCTTGGACAGAGTGGTGGACAGGCAAGCTCAGTGCCTGGTGAGGAGAAGGCGGCCCACCTCCCTGTAAGAGGTGACCGAAAGAGCCCTGTGGAGGCTACCAAACCAACCACTCACTCCTCCCACTGCTGCTTTTGCTAGTACCACTGCTGCTGCCATTGCTGCCATCATGATGTATGGATGCCCTGTGGCCTAGAAGGCAGCCCAGTCCTGAAAATTCTGTGGAAAGTCCCCTACAGGCCTTGAGCTGAGGCTGTCTCCTCTGCACACTCTCCTCTCCAATGCGCTTGCCTCTTTATGAAACAGCTGCTGGCAGAAGCCAGTACTGTAAAAAGCGGGAGCCCAGTGGAGAACAGAGAAGACAGGAAATCATGCTGCAGTATCCTGCTTTCAAGGGTATGCACAGCACCAGTAACATACGCTTGTCTATCCTTGGAGCTACACAGCGCTGTAGAGCCTCACAACAGAGTGCAACATAAACCAACAGAAGCTTTTCTGCTGGTACAGAAATGCTACATCCCTAGATGATATACCTTAAAACCAATGAAAGCACTCTTTTGTCAACAGAGCTACATCTATAGCAGGGATCTTCCTGACAGGAAAGGTGCATGTAGTTCACATCTAGCTGACATGCTGTGCTGACAAATCTCTGACCTTTTGGTCTCCTCCTAAACTGATAGGATTGGGCCTTCCTAGTCCTAAAGGGACTTCTGAGTATAAGGGACATACAGGAAAATACCTCTCTGCTTACCTGCAGAAAAGGCGTTTTCTTTCCACAGTGTTCACAGAAACACATGTTGTGACCAGTCAGCTCTTCTGGATAGAAAAAGTATTGCAGACAGTCCTCCTAACAAGACAGGAAAGATCTTTCAGCTGAATTTCTTCAAGCTGTGTTTCTGTATATACTGTGTTTCACGGGATATATGCTAAGAGCAAAGCTACAGAAGGCATATTTTATTCAAAAGACAAAAGAATACAAATTAGTTTTCTCTGTTTCATTCTTTAATTCATGATAAAAATGTACTGTGAGTCAGCTCAAGTTTCCATACTTGCTTTTAATGTGAAAAAGCAGACGGTGCCTGCCTTACTTTCTTCTGATTGTCATATTATGAATTAGGCTCTTTCCTGGATACACAACCAGGCACAAAACATGAAGTGTTCAGTGATCCATACACTAAGGAGCAAGTGGAGCTGCAAAACCTGTTAGCCACTGTAGCATTAACCAAGTCAATATTTTATCCAAACAAAATGGAGGAAGGGCTTGGTCATGTCAGACCAGACAGTACTTCAGCTTTCCATTTCTCTTTAACTCAAGTTCCAACAACGTAGTTTCTTCCGTTTTCCAGCACATAGGAAAGTGACAGAAGCAACCTATTCCTTATTCTTATGAGTACAAAGAGAAACTTCAGGAAGGCAGGCTGCAGTAAAAAGACGGTCAGTAACATCAGATGCCCTAATTTCTGAAGGCCCTGCTTAAGACCATTAGGCTTGGCAGCTCTCACTTAGCACTGAAACTCTGAAAATAGAGAGCCTCTAGGTTGGATACGCAAAACTAAGAGATTCAACATCACTAGTTACTTTTGAAAAATCATCTTACATTCACCATAGTTCCTTAACTCCCTCCATCTGAAGTCAGCAAAAACATGACTAAAAATCTCCTTACTGAGTGGCCCTCCTATTTACAACTGACTATACAGACACACCTGCATTCCCACATATATGCACATGTGAACACCAGCACTGTTTCCGCTAAATGACTTCTACTGCAGTGTGACCAGATGCCCTGTACAGGCCAGGACAGTCCCAAAACAGACATCTGTCCTATTATCTTAACATGTTAAAGAGTGTTTTTAGAGCATCATTCTAATCCCAGTTTTAGAAAGAGCACACGTAACAGTAGCATGCCTTTCATACAGGACAGATGATATTCTCTAACTCTCTTTCCCAACCATAGCCCTTGGAATTCACCTATTCCTACCATTGCAATGGGTGAGGGAGAGACAGACAAGAGAGACAGACGGAGAGACAGAGGATCCTAGACTCAGTTCTTACCCCATCATGCAGTTTAGTGCAGGAACATATCCCCATCATGTAGCCTAGCACAGGATCAGGCCCACCATGACCTACTTTGCTTTTCTTTAAATTTGGTAGTGCTACACTACTGCAAACCTGCTTTAAACAAATAACTCTCTGGGTGTCCTCTCTTCCCTACCTGCTGGAGCGAATACATTAGTTGAAAAGACACAGAGGACTGCTGTTGCAGGAAAAAGATGCTGATGCGTAAGTGTATTTTATATCCACTTCATGGCCTCAGAAATTTACACTGCTGGAACAGTAGGGAGTGGCCAGAGAATAAATGAGGTCCAATTGTCCAGTGTCACCTGAAAAATCCACTATTTGTTGCAGTATCTACATAGCCACCTATCTGGATATCAATGAACAGCACTACCGATCTAACAGTGAAAGACCACTGAACTGTACAAACGTAGTGTGGTTAGCTAAGCCTTACAAGACAGTTAAAATACTTCACTGTGGTATCTGAGCTCTCACAGGAGCATATCACTGTGTAGTGCGAGTGTTACAGACAGTATTAGTCAACACCCTTTTCAGAAAGTAGCTTCAAGAACTGTATCTTCCATTTCTCAAATCAAACAGAAAATTCTTAAGAAAATTTCAGAGAAATTTGGAAGCCCCCCAAAACAAACAGAAATATGAGTGAGAAAGGATCCTCTCCAAGCCCCCAGACACCCTGAAGAGATTCAGGATGAGTCCCAGGAGATACCACTGGAACAAGGAGAAGACTCCCATGGTGAATAGAGGGCCATCTTCTTTTTAAGGGAACATTACTGCCACTGAACTTACCAACGTCTTCAGCAGGTGCGAACTGGAATCCAACATTGAGAGTGGAAGGGTTATCATGTTGCTGTTTCTCTTTGTTTCAAAAGAGCATTCCTGACATACCATGTACTCCTGTACCCAGATAGTGTACAGATCACTCAGCTTTTCAGTCTGGAGGGGTTGAAAAAGCCAAAACAAGGTCTGTGAAGAACACAGCGGAGGCATTTCCCTCTGCGCATGGGAAAACTCCTGTGGACACCTCATTTCATACAGTGTCACCTCAGGGCTTGAACCCCGACCTGACATTGACTTACATGGACAGGATACCTCCCACCATTTAAAGGAGAAAAACTCCTTCCCCCCCATCCCCTAGCAGAAGGGAAAAAGGCAGACTACAACAAGAACAGACAGTTAGATGTCTGTTTTAATACAAGGTTTTCTTGTTTTGAATGGAATTGCAACCAGGGTCTGTCTTCTGTATGAAAAGGACTATGACACTGGGATGAGGAAGAGTCACTTTCTCTTACGTTACACAGTTCTCCTGGGAGGAGCTGTCATATATGTAATGTACGAAAAGTGACTAATAATAATTAAATGCCCGTGACTGACTTCAACGAATGAATGGAGGAGCTATGTCAAGACACACCAATTAACACCTAAAGAAATTTGGGAAAAAGAAATGCAAGCTAACCAAATTTCATTTTGCAAAAAGATGAACAACTTTTGTATTAACAAACTCTCCCAATAGAAAGGAGAAGCTGACATGCCCTTGAAGTAGGATAAACAGAGGTAATTCAAACTGCTGAGGCTTATGAAAGCAAGGCTACCCACATCTGAAAGAAGAGAGGAAAGATCCAAAAGGGGGATAAATTTAAGAATTTCATTTAAGACAACTGTCAGTGAATGGGACTCTTCTCCTTGGAGAAGCAAAGGAAACCATACATGACCAGGGCCAAAGAGTTCATTTCAAAGGTTCATTTCAGTCAGCATCCTCACCAGCTCTGGGTTTCTCATCTGCTTCTTTACCAAGTTCCAGAGAGTCAGAAAGAGCTGAGCAGCATCATACTGCACAAACACTAATAAACAAAAAGCATAACTCAGTATTAGGAACAGCACCAAGCACAGATTTCCCATAGACAGCACAGGGGGATTTATTCTCCCTCATTAGACCCAGTCTTCTGGTCCCTTGCCACAGAGCCAGGAAGCCAAGTACTCCTTGCCAGGGGCAAAGTTTAGAAGCATTGGAGATAAGCTGAAGTGGGGTGGGGGGCTTGAGTCCTCCATACAACCCAGTAAAACAAATGTCCCTGTCACAGGGCACAGAGCCAGGAGTATACCTGACATCTGCTGCAGGAAAAGGCTCAGACCCCTCATTCAGTTGAGGGTTGCGTTTATTTGAGCCCTTCTTAGAAGCAATATGAGGAAGCATCTGTACTCTCTCTCACCTTCACTCCTCCACAGACTTATCTTCCCCTTGCTGAGGCTTTTACAATTCTGAATGCTGAGAGAGAAATGCTATGGAGACCTATCCAGGTGTCACATGCACAGAATGGCACAAATCACTTAATTCATTCCCAGGACAAAACGCATAGTTCCAGCACAAGAAGCCAAGGATGGCACAATAACATTATGCTTTGCCTCTCCAGTCTGGCTAAACTGGTGCATTAACAAATCTAATATGGTGGGACACAGCTCAATGCATGGCTTGCTTAGAAAGGCTTGGCAGAGAATTTGCTTCAAGCTTCAACTTAAGGAAAAAAAGTCCACATCCTTGAAAGTGAAGTAGCAATGTTCTCAGCACATGATTAACTCAAGATTTAGGAACTGGGGAAAGCTACACATAGTTTGGGAAAACCTCTATCTTTCTAGACTACCTGTAAGCTTGATAATAGGTAAAAGAAATTTTGTGGAGTAACTCAGCAGCCTGAGGTGGAATTGCTTTCAACCTCCCTGCAAGTCTGTGCGAATGCCAAGGGTACCGATTTCAGCTACGTCCTGGATAGATTACAAACAGCCCTGACTAAATGAAGTTCACAATGTTTACCTCTCCTCATGTATAACAGCACATCTGCAATCCAGGTAAAGCACTGCTTGCCAGGATACATGACTTTATGAACCATACCCTAACTATAAAGCAGGAGAAGGGGGCAAAAGGTCAAGCTTTACAAGGCCTCTTTGGGCATTGCTCCTTGACTGGAAAGGAGAAGGCAAAAAGTGTAGAGCCATTCAGTCTCAGGGGGAAAAATGATAGAAATATTCAAGTTAGCTTATTTTCCTTACTATTTCCAGACCTTACTATTGGTCTGGGGATGGCTGGTGTCTGTCCCTTTCTGCTCCATCCTGTTTTAGCTTTTGTATGATAAAGATCAGGCATTTGTATGAAAAATGCTGTCGGTGTTTGTGCACATACACATACCCTCGGTGTCCTTGGTCACTGTGAGAATTCATTCAACAATCGCTCTCCTTCTGACCCCTGTCCTGGTGGGAGGTTGAGCCAGCAAATTTTTATTTCAGCACTGATAACAAGGAACAGGAACAGTTTCTACGCTTGGGGGTTTGGGTGAGCTCACTATCTTTTCGACACTATCTCTTTCTTCTAGTAAGAATCACCAGCTGTTCTACAAGATGTAAACAAGACAATGTAACAAGACAAACTGAGCTATAAGCTATGCTCTCACTGCCCAGGACAGCCAGTATCAGTAGCCCAGTCTTCTAGGAGTCTGATAGTTTCTCATCACTGGGACATCAACAACATTATCCTGCAGCGGCTTGTTTTCCCTCCTTCTGAAAGTAAGGCCCAGCACCTCACCCACAACTGGGCGGTGGCTATAAAGAGCACTATGTTAATATGCACCCTCTCCTTACATTCCTGAATCACTGAATGAGATGTCAGCGTCTGCATTGCTTGTTAGTACTTGATAACATCCCCTGGTCATAGGTGGGCACGAAGGAGGGCTGCTTACATTTCATCCTGTGTTCTAAAAGACAGTAAGCAAGGGCACGGGGATAAACAGCTTTCTGCTTGCCATGCTGCATCTGCTCCAGCAACAAGAGCATTTGGTATGGGACACTCCTCCTCTTCTGTGAGTCACTTGGTGGCACTGTGATCCTATAAAGAGAAGAAGCACCATGAATGGTAAGCAAGTGGTACAATGGAGAAAAGTTAAACATCATACCTGAAGGAGCAGAGGTAGATGGCATAGACAACTCAAGAGGAACCAGAATAGGCATGTGTTCAAGTAAAGAAGGAAAAAGGGGAAGCAGACACATACAGCAGCTCACCCTGCAGTGTAGGCTGACAGTTTTAAAGAGGCTATAATTTTAATTTGTCCAATTCCAGGGTGAAGGGCAAACCAAGCAGGACCTGAAGCACCTGCTGGGCTCCAGAAAACAACATTAGTTATGGCTGGTTTCAGTGCTGCCTCCTACCTATCCATCCCTTTCTTCTCAACACACTCCCAAAATTTCATGGGCAGGTACATAATAACACTTGCATTTCAGCTATACAGCAACTGGGAAGTCCTTTATCCTCCCTAAATTTCTTGCACCCAGTAAGTTTTTCTAAATCTTTCTTCAAATAACAATGGTAACCTACTGCCTTCATTATCTGCCCTTACTCCCTTATGACATTTATCTTCTCTGCACACCTGTAATTCATCTTCTCCTCACTCAGCACACTGCTGAGCATGTAAGAGATTTGGAGACAGAATGAATGAATAGGAAAATCCATTTAAATGATTAGAGCTGCACTGAACTAAGCAAATTGAAAACAAATCAAATCAGTTGTTAGTGTGGTTGGCAGGGAGGTAGAAGCCCAAATCCTCCTTGCAATCAAGTAGAGCACAGTCAAGCAAAAAAAAAGAACACCACCATGTTCTCACCATTTGCTGAATACATACTTATCTCTATCAAGCGTTAGCCAGGGCAGTGGGGGCCAGACCCCCATTACATGCCTAAAGTTACAAAATTAATAGTGAATATGGTTACACAGAACACATCATCTGGATATAACAGGCTATGAGCACGCACACCTGAATACAACTGTATCCTGCTATGGAAACAAAAGATACAAGTCATAAAGAAGCCATTTAGGACTGCAGCATACTAACATGCAAATGTCATATGAATCAGAGATGACTAATAATTTAGATAACAGTAATCGCTACATTTGTAGGCCTTAGTCTTTATACTACAGGCAGAATGAGGCAAAAACCCTGCTGAGTGAGCTGAAAGCACCTAGCACCTCTTGATGATCCAACCCTTCCAATGTACATCCCATACAAAAAAAGGAGTAGAGACAACAGAACAGCAGCTGCAATATCTCAGGTAGTTCAAAGAGTTGGTACCTTCGCAGTATCCCAGTGAAGTGTGTATTCATGAGGAACACTTGGAGCAGAGAGTTCAGACAGCAGGTCTGCCCAATATTGTACAGTCCAATAGCTTCTGTAGGCACAGGAAAAGAGGAAGTGATGCTTGGAGAAAGATATAAGAAAGTGAAGAATATTAACAGGTTGCAAATTCCTCTTTGCACATTTCGAGCTGTTCAGTGCACAGGTCCAGCATCTTGGTCAGGTCTGCAAAAAGGTTTATTTAATCTGTTCTTATGTTCCTCAGATTATATTTATTTTTGTCGGCCAACTGAAAGGAAAAATCTAGGTAAGTGTGGATTATGAAACTCAGATGTCTCCCAATTCCTCTATTTTCAGCCCTCTCAACTCACCTAAAGACAAAATAAAGAAAAAAAGTCAAAGGTTGCCTGCATGAGGGTTCTCATTCAGCCTTTTACATAGTCAGGCTTAATCACAAAATGAAGAGCTAGGCGTGGGATCATATTTCAGCTGTCTGCCACAACAGCTTTGGGTTTCCCTGCAGCCCATCTCTGGTATTTCTTGGTATCAGTTTCAAAGAAAGGAACTAGCCTAAGAGAAGATGAAAAAGCAAATCGCAGTGGTTTATACTGCATATAAAATGAAAGCATACGCTGTACCCCAAAGGGCTATAAGTAAATCATGGTCAGAAATGAGTTTTTCTTTTGCAGTCTCTCCCTCTGGTGATGATGATGGGAAGTGGAAACTCAGAACAGGGAAACACATACAGTTAGTGGCAAGGAGGTATATATCTGGTATAGAACAGTATCTACACCTGCAATACTGACAACAGCTTTTGGGCGGCCTGTCTAGTGATGCCACAGAATAATCAGGATGTAGTCCATCGTTTAGCAAATCCAGAACCAATGCTGGCTACCTTTGAGAAGGGACATGGCCAGCATGTAGTCCTTCTCAGCTGCAATGGCCCATTTGAGTTTTCAAAAGGGGAAAAAGCACCAAGATCCTCATGTAATCCCTTCCCTTAGGCACAAAGTGGTCACTTGGCAGGATCAAATGAGAATCTTCTGGTGAAGAGATAAAGAATAAGAGAAAATGAAGCCCAAGGAACAGAATGGAACAAAAGGAGAAGGCGGCAGTAGAAATAGAAAATATCAGAGCGGAAGACAGACAAAACATTATTACTATTTTTCAAGTCTGCCATGCCGATGACCAATCTCAGCCTCTGGTCTCTGGTCTTTGTCTCTTCAGTTTCCTCTTTATCACTTTGTACATGTGCTTCTGCCTTCATGGTCTCACTTGTTGTCAGCTCCAGTTTTTTGCTTCTTTCTTGACGCCCACTTCCTTGGCCCATCAACAGTATTATACAATGACGCAAGGACTGCAGAAAGACACAGAGAGATCATTTTTCTGAGTGTTCTCCATCTTTATAATGTTCACCTCTGTATGTGATATTTGCATGATGAAAAAGCTGGAATGTCAATAAAATGATTGCTGTGATGGCAGTTGGTACATCTGAATTAGTATGGCAGGTGTGCAGGCTATTAGCAGGTTGACAGGCCTGATGAATGGTGAAATAAAGGACCATCCGGTTCCATAGAAATAGCTCCACCTAGCCAGGGAATTCCAGATATCCCTGTTCAAGAAGATCTGGTAAATAATATCATCAAAATGGTCCAGTATGGCAACTGTTGCAAATCTTTTTGATAACAGCAATGCTTTATAACCCAAAGCAGCTTAAATATTCAAAAGGGCAAATTTCACCTTCTCAGACCTTTCGAACCGATAAGTGTTTATTTGTTTTCTGGTTGGGCTCTCTGCGTTGTTTTAAACACTTTAATTACAGCTCTACTGTGGTATTTTGGATTCTGATCTATAAATCTAAGGAGGCTAAGAACTTGAATGTCATTTCCTGTATAAGCTCCTTCAAATAATCACAGGCAAAGGGACTGTTTAAGAAGGGAACCATTAAACTCCTTGATTTTAAGGGGAGTGCTGAAAGGACCATTACTTCATTACAGCCTCTTAGGATTCAACTACTGGCTCTTTAAAGAAAAAAAAAAGTAATATATGGAAGCAAAAACACAAGACAAATGTTAGAATGCAATTAAATAAAAAGGGAGGGTTTTTGAAAGTCCACCTTCAACAGGGAAACAGAATCAGAAAAGAAGGATATCTTTAGGAAAACATTCACGGGAGGGGAAACCAAAAAAAAAACAAAAAATATGGTGAGGAATTTATATTTTAAAAATATTGAACAGCTTTTAAAAGGAACCTGAGGCCATTCCAAATACTGAAAGAATGAAGGAAAGTCACTAGGAAATAAGCAAAAAAACCCGGCAGAAACCTTTCATGAAAAGAAATTATTTGCTTTAAAAGCATATTTTTTCCAGGTTAACTGTGCCTAGTAATGTTACATTTCAGAATTTCTGAGGAATTTATCAAAAAACTAGAAATTAATGGGTTTTTGCAATTAATAATTTTGACCTTAAGTATACTTGTCTCCAACTGTACTTTATCAAGACTACTTTTGAACTCAGACCTGTTTGATACACTCAGATTCACTAAATATTGTTGAATTTGCTGAGTTTTATCTGGGAGGGGGGAAAAAAAGAAACTGTATCATTCAGAGCTAGTTTCAAGAGCATCGCTTTTTACGTTCAAGACCAGTGATCAGAACAGCAACTCAAGAAAGTGGAAACTGGGTTTGATTTCCCCTTCTGCAAAATATTGCAAGAGCCTGATACTGCTTCTTTCCCAAAAAGTGATTTACCCAGGCCTTCAAGTTACTGATAGTTCAGCCATAGCAGGAGCCGACCTTTGCTTGCATGGCAAGAGCTAGTGGGTTTAGTTGGTGTAATGTCAGCAAAAGGGTGGCAGTAACGCTCACAGCTGGTGGGGATACTGGAGGAAACAGAAAAGAGAGGGACAGAAGGGCAGAGCAGGAATAGCTAAACAGCAGCTATGAACGTGCTGGGGATGAGGAAAACTTGGAAGAGAGAGGCTTCGGCAGGAGAGGTAGGATTAAGGGTGGGATGCATGAGCGAGTGCAGGGCTAAGAGGCTTTGGGTGACTTGGGAAACTTGGGTAGAAAGACATTAGGGCTGGGAGGTTCAGAGGGATGCAGAGGTGAGAGAATCTGGGGTCTCTGGCTTGATGAAACTCTCCTCCACACACCCAGGCAGTGAGCTAACAGGAACTCTGGTTTAGGAGCAGGACATGACTAGAACTTTCTAACCCTTGCACGGAACTGCCTCATTTTGGTCAGAAAAAACACAGTATTTTTAAGATTTGCACTTGACCTTCCTTTACCCAGCATAAATGTATAAACAAACAGGTGAGTGAGCATAAGAAGGGAGGAGTAGGCTGCCTTCTTACCACTGACTTATCCTCTCAGGAGAGCACTGAAAGAGCAGGGTCCCTCCTCAGTTTCCTTTGCTGATTAGCGACATGACTCAGTGCTGCTGCCTCGGCCAAGCTACACGCTAACTCTAGGCAAAGAAAGGGTAGCAGTAGTTCCTCCATCATATCCTGCGTCTTCTAAGCAACCAGCCTTCTCACCTACCCTCCTCCCTCCAAGCCCAGGGCACTCCCTCCTACTAGGGCTCTGCTCCACAGCCCTTATGTCATCCCAGGAGACCAGACTCTAGCGACAAATCCCCTTGGTCCCTTCACGCTCATGTATCGCGGCCCCCCTCAGCCTTAATGTCACCCCAGCTACGCAGCAGCCCAGGCGCTTGGCAGTCCCTGATGCCCCTGGCCACCCAGTGGCCACCATTCTTTCCCACCACCATCACTTCTTTTTAAACCCCGCCATCATGTTGAGGTCGAGGTCCAGGCCGTGGAGATGACTGTGCTGGGACGGGAGGTAGGACAAAAAAGAGTGACCCAGAGACCAGGAGAAGAAATGGCAGCCCTGAGGCTCTTCCCTAAGAGACTGACTCTGCAGTGTAAGCTGGCAGGCAGTGCTCTAGCCTTTCACCTCCGTGCTTTCCTCCTCGGAACGAGGATTTTAAGTTTTCTGGTGAAGTACGTGTTAGTTCAGCCCCAATTTTTCTCCCTCCTCTCCTTTTTTTTTCCCTCCTTTTCATTACAGGATAATTCTGTTTAAACAGACAAAAGACCACTTCAACCACTAAAGTCACGAATTATTTCCACTCCCTAGATTGCAGCGTCCAACAATCCATCGGATTCCATCCGCTCAAAACGAGAGTCACTTTCACCAGCTAGGAGAAACACGAATCACCAAACCAATGCGATACAACAGCTCGGAGGACACTGCGCAAGTAGGTATTTTAATGGCACGATGTGGCCCCTATTACCTGACGGTCCGTCGACAGGGCTTCTCACACACTCCCGGAGGACCACGAACGCCTGAAGCCCCGGCAGACCCCGAGGTGGCCACCGCAAGCGCGAACAGACCCTCCGCAGCCAGGCAGGCTCGGCGCCGCC